GTTATATGCAAACAATGAATCATGGAACACTACATCAAAAACTAATGATGTAATGTATGGTGATTAACATAACATAATAAAAAAAAAGAGAGAACCTGGCTCATAGGAAGTCCTAATTAAACACTAGCTAGTCTTTTTATTATTTTTGGCATTATCTGAGGAGAGAATGTTTAAACCTACATAGGTTCACATGGGAATGACCAGCTCAATTTGGAAATAACTCACATCAGAGCTCCTAGGTATATTAGAGTGCTGGGAGCAGGAGGTGTGGAAAAAGAGTGGGAAAGCTTTAGGAAACATCTCAGCCTTGATTCTGTCTCCACCCTCTCTAGCTCCTACCTTCAGTTCCCTCCAGAAACTATTTCCCTGCTCTGACTTGTGGTATCATAGTAGATCAAATTGAGCCTTGGAAATCATTCTTCATATTTTTAGGCCCTGCCATGCCATTTGAACAACTATTTCAACTCTTGTGTCCTATTGATTATCAAATTTGAGCCATCATTATGACCTTAGTTTTGAGATTTCAATGAAGAATGGACTTGAAGAACTAGAAAATTTTTATATTTTCCATATACAGTATAAGCCCAAATTACGTTCTCCAGTTCAACTCATGCCTGCAAGTAAGTGCCTAATATATCCAGGCATAGTCTCAATCTGACATATGAAATGGTAAATAATACTGATCTCAAGCAGCTGTCAGTCTACCAGGGGATACAGACAAGTACATGGATGACTTCAACAAATGTGGGATGAACAAGAGAGAAATATGTGCAGCTATTGGGACATGGAATTTAGAGACTTAGCTTGTCTTAGGGTCCAAAGAAAGCTTTCTGAAGAAAATTGGTCCCTGAACTATGTCTTAAAGATGAACAGGTGTGTTAGCCATGTGCGAAATGAGGGAGAAAGCCACGAGCAAGTCAATGAGATACAAAGCATGCATGAAAAGTGTGGAGAACTACAAGCATTTTAATGTTACTAGAAGGAAAGAGGAGGCAGGAGCTGATGGGAGATGAGATTAGAAAGAAAGGTAGGAGCTAAGGTTAAATGCTGTTATCTTTTTTTCAATTATTTATTGAGTACCTACTATGTATTAAGCATTTCTCTAAGCTTGAGGAGTTCAGATTTCATCCTGTAGGACAAATGATAGTTAGAAATTAAAGAGTAGATATATGTGTGATATTTGTTTGTTTTTGATTAATCAGCCTGCCTATAGTATGAATAGTATATTTAAGGGGAGCTAATTTAACCTTGTGGAACTCAGCAAGAAACTAAAGCAATAATCTAGGAGGAATGAGGGCAGTAGTAGCAGAATTGACAAGTAGGAGGAAAATTAGAGAAACAGTAAGTTATAAAAATGAACAGTGTGTTACTTTGCATAAAAGGGGAGGTGGAAGAGTTTCATATCAGAGTACCCATGTAAATGGGGGTGCCTCATACTGAAATAGAAATATAAAAAGGAAAGTTGGCTGGGACAATTGATTTTACAATCTTTGGGGCATTACAAAAGATATACTTAGCATATTTGGAATTATTCAGGGCTGGACAAAGATTTGTCAGTCCAAAGCTCACATGAATCTGTGAGTCCACAGAAGTTGGTAAGTTTGATCAAAGCGGGGTCATGTAGAGTCCCTGGACAAAAGATAGAAGAAAATGAGAAATAACAATAGTGTATGGGCTTGGATAAGTGCCCATGAAGAAACCCAAGGAGAAATGATTATAGGTAGAAAGAAGACCAGAAAAGAATGATAAAATGGAAGCGGAGGCAAAAAAAAAAAGAATAAAATGTTCAAAAGGGAGTGAAATGGTTATGCCAATGACATAACAATTAAAAAATAAAATATGAAAATATTAAGGATAAATAAATAAATAATAAAAAATAAACTTCAGCAGTGGAGTGAAAGTATTGGGTAGGAATTGAATGAAATGAGTGAGACCTATTCCAGTTGGTTGACATTTAAATTTATTTTAGCTTTAATTCTTTATCCTTTACAAACATTGCTGTTCTCTTCTTATAATTTTCTATCCTATGCACCAGATACTTCAACCATAGTTTTGAAACTCAATCAATGTCAAAGGATTTGATGTTTCTTTCGGTAGTGAGTTGACTGGGTCAAAGACTCCTTGACTTTGAGTCTATGTACTCTTTCCTTTCTGTTTTCTACCATCATATCTGTCAATAATTTCAGTAGACTCCTACTGATTCTCTCCATCTTCTCTTTTTGTTCCTCAATCCATCTTATGCATTGCTTCTAGGAATATTGCCCCAAATGCAGGTCTTAAGATACTAAGTGGCCTCCCATTGTCAAATAAAGGCCAGATTCTTTCATTAGGCAGTTAACTCCAGCTTACCCTGCTTTCCATCAAACTAAATTATGAGCATACATAATTTCCACTAGCTAATTGCAAATCCTTTATGGGCAGAATCTATAATAGATTTGTTTTTGTATCCCCCAAAATACCTAGCCCAAATAAATGTGTTGGATTTATTACTATATTTCTCTGACCTGTATTTTGTATCATTATGTGAACTTTTCTTTTCAGCCTTGCCCTGTCATAACTTTGAGGATTACATAAAAGAGCAAAATTACCTAATGGTTAACTCACCCTCCTAACAATAAATGGCAATGTTTCTTTCAAGCTTTAGACTTCTAACGAATCCAACAAGTTGGCTAGAATATGAGTTCCCTAACAACAGGAATCTACCAAGCTGCCTTCTTTGTGAAACTCAAAAAGACGTGCTAAGAAGTGATTTGAAACTTCATGCTGACTTATGAAATCTTTCAGAAAACATAACAACATTGTGCAAGCATATCCTTCTGATCAAAACTTCTCATTTCTCGGAATAGCGGGTATCATTTTGTCCCAGTCATCCTCCACAAGTTACAAGAACCCCTATAACTATATATAGGAAGAAACAAGTCAGGATGGGGGCTTACCAAATTGACACTGGGGTCCATAGTAGCCCACATCACAGTTGCAGGTGTAATTATTGATGGTTTCCACACATTCTCCATGGTTGCCACATGACCAGGGCTGACAAGAAGCTTTAAGGGAGGGTCAGAAATAAATTATTTTAACATGATTACTTCTTAGTACTCATAATCATTTCTTCAGGTATAGATAGCTTTCTGGCTGCGACTATTTAATGAACAGAAAGGTTTATTTGTACATTCATAGCTTTTTTTTGCAATAAAACCATATGCTAGAATTTTTTATTTATGTAATATACTGGCCATATAGCCACAGACATATACATAGGATGAATTTACTAAGGCCAATACTCTATAACACTTCAGAGAAACTTAGTGACATACTTTGAAACTCTTGGAATACTTTGTTTTAAATGTTATAAGTAGGTTAAATGATGACCCAACCCCAACCATTTCTGCAATATGCTTGACAATCCCTTCCTTTATAGAAAATACTAGAGAAAGATTAAGTCTGAACTTGTTAAATCAGTAGAGAGCCCAATTTACAAGAGATCAAATTAACTATGTTTCATTGTTGAAATATGACTTGGAAAAACACTGTTTTGGAACTGAAAACAGAAGTTTCCAACCTCCACAGATAATGAAACATGGCAATATTTCATTTTATAGAATTATGTAAGATTAAGCCAAAGAGGAAACATGAGCATAAATCCCCCTACCTTACAGTGAGGAAACAGGCATCATGTGAGCCTGAGCTCCTGGCCAGACCCATCTCTCTGCTTCTACTTCCCTGCCTTACTTCTCACATACACTTACATATTGATGTAAATTGATTTAGAGGTGTAGTTTTGGGGTGTTAGGAGCAGCCTCACATGCCAAAAATGCACAGAAGTGACATGATTTTATTTTTATTTTTTTGGAGGACAGGATTTATTTTAGAATGTACTAGAAACTACTTTCTTCCCTATCATCCTCCTGGGATGAGTCCCATCATTCTCTCCACTTTGACCACTCCCTACCTGTGTAACAGAGGGCTTTCTTTTGTTTGTAGCAGGAGTCATCATTCCACTTTCCTGCGTCTTTGATCCTCTTGATGTAGATCTCCACACAGTCCTCTTTGGACTTCTTGTTATTAGGCTCTCCATCTCCCCAGTTCTCCGCTTCTTTTGTAAGAGACTTGTTGGTTCCCACCCAAGTCCATATTCCCCCTACTTTCCGGATTCCTATCCAGTAGTAAGTTTGGCTGAGGGGAAGGGTCCTCTCCAGGTACTCAATTTCCCCCTTGTTTTGTATGGCAACTAAATCTGTGTAATCTTCTTGGCAGTACCTTCTAGCCCTCGCCCAGTTCATGGATTTTTCAGAATAGTGGTAAGTCCAGCCATTGGTTCCATGACGTGCAAGGAAATCTGAAAGATATCAGTGTGAATTATGCAGACTCTCAGTTACAACTGAAAAGAACCTAGAAGTAATCCAGGCTGGGCTTGCCACTTAAAGATGACGAAACCAAGACCACAGAATCAGTCATTTGCAGATTTTAAGTGGAACCTAGACCTTCGGGTCCTGATCACTTTTCACAGTAATGTATAATACTTTTTGCTCATCGCAAATTTGGTAGCTTCCTAGATTTTATTTCATAACCTCATTTTTTTTCTCAAAATTCTTCCAAGTGAAATTTAACCAATGTATTTTAGAAATTCATATTTCTTTTTCTATTTCTGTATAATATATATCCCTAAAACTTACTGCCCACTTTTTTATACTGGGATAATTTCCTAAAAGCCAACATTTATGTTTCTGTGGGAGAAGTAATATAAGGACAGGAATAACAACATACTTTTAAGTATTCTCTTTCATATCAAAAAGGTAATCTTTTACCACAGGAAGAGCTGCTTCTGGGAAAGCCTCAATACATAGCTCAAGCCTTATATATCTAACTATATTTTTTAAAAAGAATAATTTACAAAACCAAATGCTGCAGGATTATGAAATTGATTTAGATCGTGTTCTGTGCACAAAGATACTCAGCTGATGGTGTTTAATAATCATACGGGCTCTTCAAACAGGAGGGCTTTGACAAAACCGAAACAAACACATAATTATGCAATGATCTCATGGTATCTTATGCCAGTCTAAGCATGGTATGATCTATGTGAAATGCTGTTCTACCATTACGGTAAATGTTTTCATGGTCATCAATATTTATTGAGTTCTCACTATGTAGGGCAAAAACCATGGAGGAATACCAAAGAAAACATAGATCCAATTTTTACAGTCTCCTAAGGATTCCGAACAAGGAATAACAGATGCAAAGAAAACATAATTAATCTTGATCCAATTAAACATATCAGAAGTGAACAGAGAACTGAGAAACAGATATGATTAATGAGTAAGGAATGTAATAAAATAAACATTTGGAACAGAGTTTTGAAGGAACATTCTACCAGAATATAAGTTCCAAGAGAGGAGAAACTGTTTGGTTCAGTGCTGTATCCTCAGTGCCTAGGACAGTGCCTGGCACATTATAGGAACTTGGAAAACACTTGTTGAATGAAAAGAGCACTAGCTTTGCAGGTGACATGAGGCAGACATGGCATAAGGAATGTGTCAGGGGCAGAGAAAAGCACATTTGCTTGGCCAGAGCTCAAAATCTAAGCCAGGGAGTAAGAAGGACTAACTTACTTAGGAAGGGGAAACAAGGTTCAAAACAACTGCTGGAGAGTCTTCAAGAATCAGACATAAAACTTGTCACACTAATGGGAGAAGAATAAAAAATATATATATAAAAGGCACACTTTAATTGTAGAAATAACATTGACATGCACTAAATTATTGAAAAAAATAAAATAAAAAGTACCGAGCACCCAGCTGGCTGAGTTGGAAGAGCATGTGACTCTTGATCTTGGGCTTGTGAGTTCAAGTCACATGTTGGGTATAGAGATTACTTGAAAATAAAATCTTTTTAAAAAAATAAAAGTACTCTGCTAAATATTTGGTATGGATTGTAAGGGTCCCATCAGATTTTCCTTAATTGACTTTATTTCTTCATAATTAAGACTTTTGTGGGATTATCAGGATCTGGACCATGCAACAAGGGTGTGGCGGGCTTAGAAGGTTTCTGGGGGAAGTACTAAAAGTAACAGAAGAAAAGGACGTTCATAGAAAGGATAGAACTAACAACTATCTATCTAATATTCTTCCCTGTGACTACATGCACCCAGTGGATATTTAAGAAAAATAAGCGTAAGTTAAAAAGGGCTTAGCAATATACAAATACCATAACGTACCACAACATAGCACTGTCCAGACCCACAACTTGAAGATATTCCATGAGCCCCTCTGAGAACTCTGACATTTCCATGGAAATATCTGCAAAGAAAATACAAAATTATAGTTAGATTTATATTCTTAAATCACAATTTTTAGAGCACCTTGAGGAGGTGGCTGCAACTTTCTTAAAGTTCAAAATAAAATACATATGCTCACTAACCCTGTCTGAAGGAAGAGGTTTCTTAGATGTGCATGAAAAAGTAGCATTAAATTTGCTTCAAAACTGATACAGAGTTGTTTCTTTTCTTTTTCATGTTTTAGCCTTAGGTTGCTGATTATTACTACTCTGATTTTTTTCTACATTTCAATATTTTTTTGTACTTCCTTTCTGCTGAGCTGTTAGATGAAACTATTTGATATTTAATATGTATATTTTCAAGGTGTTCTTTGATGCTTAATGAACTATTGAAGTCTGAGATTTAAATGTTAAAATCTTACACTGGATTACAATGGTTCGATGCTTCAAATACTTAAAAGTATTAGATAGCCAGACACCAATAAAGAAAAGCAGTTCATTTCTTTTTCAATTAAAAAAAATACACTTTGCAGAATCCAGACCACAAGTTCTCTGCACACCTTAAAACCATATTTTCTGAAGTGTATCACCTCTCAGGTAGCCCCAGTGTTCACCTGCAAAAGTGCTCATTTCAACAAAATAGTACTTCTTCAAGAATCTCACCAGAGACAAATCAATGAAGAGAAATCAGCACATCTGAGAAGAAAGATTCTAGAAGCACCTTTTAGACTTAGCATTTTTAATTATTGGCTTTGTTAAAACCAAAAATGAAGTGTGTGGTTTCTTGTCCTTTGCCACCTGTCTTTGCAATCTCAAGGGGTTCTATCTGAGCATCTGGAAATCTTTGAGGCTGATAAGCTCACCATGGCTTTATTTGTCCTTCTTTAGCTCTTCTGGACTTCAGCCTCTCAACTCAGCACCAGGGTGTCTGGGTCCTTGCCCACAGCTGGGTGTGCTGTGCTTCGGGAGGCTGCGTGGAGTGCCACCAGAAAGGCTTGCTTTTTTTTCATTTCTCAGACTGAGTCTCACATCCTCCTCCCCTTCCCCGCATCTTTCCCCACCTCTTCTCGCTCCTCTTTCCCCACCCCTTTCCTAATCTGCCTTCTGTCACCACCCTGAGAAAAGAAGAGCTGCTGACCAGGGGCATTGTTGCTAGATTCTCTCCTCCTTCCCTCCTTTCCCTCCTTCCTCCCTTCCTTCCTTCCTCCCTTCCTTCCTTCCTTCCTTCCCTCCTGTCTTCTCCTCCTCCTTCTCCCTCTCTCTGCCTCCCTCCCTCCCCTCCACCCCCATCTCTCTCTCTCTTTCCCTCCTTTCTTTTTGGATAAAACCTGTGCTACCTCTTGGCTATCCTTGGTAGTGAGCCCCAGATTACTGCAAACACCACAGGATCAGAACACCAATTCCTGATGCCTGTCAAGCTTCAGTAGACAGTTCCTGCTCCCTCTGTCCTTGCTCGTCCCCTAGTGGAGGTCCCTGGTAATGGCATCTCCTAGAGTTGAGCCCTAAAGATAGCAAAGCCCAGGGGAGGTTTTTGCCTTGGGGAGTTTGGGGGCCTAGAGTACTTTTGCATTTCTGGAGTGTAAAATGTGAAGGAAATAGACTGCATATGAAATTAGGACCTACATGATGGAGGGCAGTGGAAAGGAAGAGTGATGACAAAATCACATTTGTAGTTTTTAGAAGATGAGTAATAACAGTAATAGCTGGAGAGCTCGACCAACAGTACACATGATCACCTCATTGAGTCTTCATGAAGGTTAAGTACTACTATTCCCCAGCAGGCACTATCATCATCCCCATTTTAAAAGAGTGTCAGAAAGCTTAAGAAAGTTGTGTTTAGTCACAAAGCTAGTAAGAAACACAGTTGGGGTTTTGAACCCAGGCCAGTCAGTTCTGAAGCCCGTGCTCTTGATGATTAGGGAGCACATCTTCCGCCAGGAGTTTGGAATGACAAGTTGATGTGGGGACAAACCTGGAGCCAAGGAGCCCGGCAAAGTGCCGACGTTCTTACTATCATACCCCAAAGGAATATCTAGACTTGTATTTCTGAGTCTTCTCCTTCAATTCTCACTTGACCCTTGTCTAATCAGGCTTTCAATCACACCAATTCCCTGAGACTGCTCCCACCAAGGTCCTCTGTCCTCATGTTATTTGACCAATCAGCCCCTGGCTCTCCTCCTACTTCATGGACTGTTCCTTCTCTGTTTCATTTGTTGGTCTGCCCTCATCTCTCCACTCTGCAAACCTTCAGAGTGCTCCAGTGCTCACCACTGTTTTTTTTCTTTTCTACCCCCACTGACTTGGTGATGCAAGCCAGCCTCTTCACCTTGAAGAGCATCTAAATGTTTGATGACTCCTAAATTTGTATTTCCAGCAAGGACTGTTCCCAGCCAAATGCCTACCTGATATCTCCATTTAGTTGTTTAAAAAGCCTCTCAAATTTTACACGTGCCAAACTGAACTTCTGAATTCCTCTTCCCAAGCCTCTTGACATCTCAGTAAATTATAACTCCATTCTTTAAGTTCCTTAAGCCAAAGCTTTTGGAGTTAATTGAGATTCCCCTCTTCTTCTGACAAATTATATCTAATAGGTCAGCAAATTTTGTTGGCTTTGCTATCAAAATATCCAATCACTTCCATTCTATTATGCATCCAAACCACCATCATCTCTCACCTCTATTATTGCAGAAGTCCCCCCATGTAGACTCCACGTTTCTACCCTCTTCTTTTTATGGCCTATTTTCAACAAAACAACTTAAATGATTCAGTTAAAATGTGTATCACTCAGGGTCCCAGCCAGAAACAGAATTCACCCCAGATGAGTGAATTCTTAACCCACTGAAGAGTCTTTACTAGAGGGACCACTCACATAGATTGGGCAAGGCTAAGAAAACAAACATGAGAGGATGAGGCATCCAGAGTCTGGCGGTAGCAGGATGCAGCTGTACCTCTGGGACTGAAGATTCAAAGGAGGAGATGGTGTTAGAATCTAGTGAGAATTGCAACCCTAAAGGAGAAGCTACCCATCAGGAGCTATACTGGAGGAGAGATACAGCTGCTTCCAGAGAGAACACCTGTGCAGGCAAAGGTTGGGTAAGACATATCCTGACCACTCTCTCTTCTTGCTCTTTGATCTCCTGTATGAGCCTCTTATTAGTCAAACCAATCAGACACCAGCCCGCCAGTGATGCAATCTGCAGGGCTCAGCCTCTGGGACACAGGGCAGGGAGACCTGAGAATGGATGGGTAGTGAGGGAGGGCGGCAGAGGGGAAGAAAATAACCAGCAAGAGAAAACACACGTCAGACCCTCTAGTGGCTTCTCATCCCACCCAGAGTAAAATCTAAAGTCCTTACGTTGGCTCACAAAATCTTACATGGTCAGGCACCTGCTTCCTAATCACTTTTGTCCTCTGAGATTTCCATTCTTTTTTGTAAGCTCAGTTATTCATTTAAATTTATTTATTTAAATTTCACCTAGAAATTTAAAATATTATAGCAGAAGAGTGTTCAGAATATTAATCCTCTATATTCTCAGAAGCAGAAGGTCTAGCATTCAATAAATGCCAATTGAATAAGTGGATAAATAAACCCCTTTTTGGTCATAAACTGCAAATGTCCCTTTCTTTTTTAAGGAAAGACTTTATCTCATTTTTTTTTTTTTAGTCTCATTATTTTGTTGGATATCTTTGTTGTTCTACTGGTTTGTTGGACATTCTTATTCTTTGAAAACCAAGATCCAGGGTTTTCTTCAGAAAGCTGGTTTAGGTCATCAGGCATCCAGCCAAAACTACATTCAAGCTCCCGACTTGCACCAAGTCTACAAGGTACACCAACATTTCAGGCCCTTGTCCAAGAGAAGGAGAGATCTTGGGTCCATCCAAAGTTGGGTTTTGGGAGGGTGGGGGTGGGGTTATTTAGTGACATTGTCAGATATACACTCAATTTATTCACTTTTCTATACATTTTAAATTCTGGCCTTATATCAAGTTAGATTTCTAAAGAACTCAGACCACATCAACTTAGCCCCTCACTAAGTTCCCCTCACTGAGTCCATCAAATCTGTGTTTTTTGGCTTTTATCAAAGCATTTTTCATATGGATGTTTTTGAGTCATACGGATGGATTTTGTATTTGCTAAAAACACTTTTCTTGAATGTACAGTGACAAATTTAGCTTAAATTTATGCACATTCATCTATACCATGGAATATGATTCAGCCACGAAAAGGAATGAAGTACTGACACATGATACAGTGTGGATGTACCTTGAACGCATTAGGCTTAGTGAAAGACGCCAGACACAAAAGGCCAGAGATTGTGTGATCCCATTTATATGGAATATCTAGAATAGGCAAATCCACAGAGACAGAAAGCAAACTGGTGGTTGCCAGGGGCTCTGGAGAGAGAGGAATAGGGACTGACTGTTTAATGGGTATAGGGTTTTCTTTTGCTGAGAATATTTTTAAGTAGATAGAGGTGGTGATTGCACAACACTATGAATGTACTAAATATCACTCTGAATTGTACACTTTAAAGTGGTTGCTTTTATGTTATATAAACTTTACCTCAATAATAATAATTTTAAAAATAGTGCACATTCAATCTAAAGAGAAGATTTGGGGTAGGCAAGGCCATGGGACAGGTTAGCAGCCACTTGAAGGGTTGTCGGGAGAAGAGTGGTTATTTGGCTATTCTGTGGTCCCCAAAGGGCAGAACTAGAATGAGTAGGTGAGCATTATAAACCATCGCAAAACCCCAGAGAGATTGAAACCAATGCTGGAGAACTATTTGGGTCATTGAGTACCACTGGCAGAAGAAGCCTTCCCTTGTGCCTCTCCCCCATCACAGATGACTGCAAGGCTTACTTGTTCATTGCTGCCAACCAAAGCTGTGTTCACCGCAGTTTCCAATATGAGTTTATCATGGGTAGAAGGAATGCGCAGTCTCACACAACAACCAGTAACCCCACAGCCAGGGTGCCCAGTTCTCCAATAACATGCTTCTCCTCCACTCAGCTTGAACTACCTTCTCCCTTGGACACAGCCTCAAACTGTGTCGACTTCAAAATCACATACTCCAGCATCCCCCCCCTTTAATCACGGTCACCTATTCTTGTAGATCTGGTGCTCAAGTATCTCACTGCAGCACTTGTCAATCATATCTCACTGAACCTCCAGGCCATTAACTAGTTCCTTTATTTCATCTTTATTTCCATTCTGTTCTGTACTATTGTCAAACCTATCTTGTCTCCATAACTGGATTTCAAACCTTGCCTTCTGAGACAACTCATTCCACTTGAGAAAATTGGTCCTGTTCCTTATCATGAGCCCATCTGCATTTGTTTGTCCACATATTCATTCTTTCATTCAAAAAATATTTGTTAAGTATCTATGGTATATCAGGAATATGCTACATTCTAGGAACAGAGCAATGAACAAGGTAAATTGCTTCTACCCTTAAGGAACTTAGAATCTAGTAGAAAAGACAGGTATTAAGCAATTACACAATAATTAGTTAATTAGGATTAAAGGAAGGAAGAAAAATATGGGCTGTGAGAGCATTAAAGAGGTGACTTAATCTAAGGAGTCAATTGCCATGAAGGGACATTTGAGCAGAGAACCTGAAACCTGAGTAGGAGTCAAGCAGGCAAAGAATGGCGGACTCCTTGATGAGGAGGGTGAGTAACTGCAGGTGAAAGAAGCCGATGTGTTCAAAGGCATCAAAGTGGGCAGACATAGCTCTCCATTGTGGATGGAGTGCAATGCCTGAAGGGGCATGGCGTGAAATGAGGATGGGAGACAGGCAAGACTAGATTTTGTGTGACTTGTGGGCTGTGTCACAGTCCCTCCCAACAGCAGACTGAGAGCCTGGAGACTCTGGGGATTTTATCATTTAATCCAGGGGTTGTGATAAGGATCTGTTCTGAGGCTGTCGGTGAGAGCACAGCTGGTTAAGGGTTATTACAAGAACTATTGATAGGAAGGATTTGGCACCACTGGGTGAGTAAGGAGAAGAACAAAATCCCCTTAATTATAGCCAAAGCTCTCTTGTGGTGTTGGTTGAACCATCTTATGAATATACCAAAACTATTGGACAGTACACTTAAGAAGGGTGAATTTTATGGAATGTGAATTTTATCTAAATAAAATAGAACTTTTAAGAAAGAACCTACACACAGAACTAAATATAAACATGTTTATTATCAAATTTTGTACTGCCATATCAAATACAAAATGGGTATGGCATAAGCTTAAATAAATATATACTTTAAAAACTATAAACTATTTTAAATCATAATTTAAAATACTTTATTAAACCGAAACGCAGACCACATTTACATTTCACACAGCTACTTCCATTGCAGTATATATAAATATTTATATTTACAGCATTTGAACAATTTCAGAGAAAATAATAATCCATTCCATAGGTAGCCTGCTCACAATAGTTGTTTATTTCTCTCTCCCTTATTTCACAGAGTTCTTTCGCTCTGTCAAAATCTCTGACCTTCTGACCCTTAGCATTCCTCCCTGTTTGCTTTTGGCTTCGCCTTGGCCAACATACAGCCAGCACTTGTCCAAAACTTTGCTTTTTCAACACATCCTAGATTAGTGAAAGTGTGGGAGAGTTTTGATTCTCTTGTCATTTGCAGGATGTGGTGAGAAGCTCTGGTGATGGACAGGCCAAGAATTTCTCACTGCCAATGATCAAGTGATAACTGGAGATTCCTTAGGAATTTTAACCTCCTTTATAAATAAATATAAATACACACTCATCCAGACCTTCCTTTCTTCATGAACACCCTAACAAACAGAATAATGCAATTAGGGAATAAACATTAAAAGTCTCCACTTAAAAAAGAAAAAATCCACTGGACAAATCCTTTATATGGTGAGTTCCTATCATGAATTTAAAATCTTACGCAATATGCAAGAATTATATGTTGATGCATCGCATCTGACAACATCTTTGTAGGGATGCAAAGCACATCCATATTTCTACATTTTTTTTCAACAAAGATATGCATAAAAGTGTACCCTCATTTGTTTGCATTTACACTTTTTTCAAATCAGAACACTTGGCCTCATGGAAGTTTTTCATCATGGAAAACCACATACCTCTGAAAACAGAGATGACAGTGTACAAGCGTATGCCATTCATGTTCTACTCTCCTGATACTACTCATGTTTTTACTTATTTTTTTTTAAATAGGTTCCATGCCCAGCATGGAGCCCAATGGGAGCTTGAACTCATGACCCTGAGACCAAGACCTGAGCTGAGATCAGGAGTCAGATACTTAACAGACTGAGCCACGCAGGAGCCCCACTACTCATGTTTTTAAAAGCAACTATAGTAAAACATTCACAACTTTATACTGGTTAACATTATACATTGCTGGGGGACAGCATTTGTCCTTTTTTGAAATAAATTTACTACAGACATAACATTATGTTTGTTAATAAACAAAAATCTAGGATCTACCTTAACATAGTCTTAACATGCACATATTTTAAAGTCCCTACAACACTTGTATTGAATTAAGAATTAGGGAAGATTGTACTTTAGTCAATGCAAATAAAAGAACACAATCTCTAAGAGCACTTTATAAAGCACTGAGTCCCACAGGGATAAAAGTGATTAAGACTGTGCTTAGTAATCCTCACACAGAGTATTAAGTAGGATTTCCCCAGGCACTCCCCTGTGGGCATTAAAAAATTATCATTTTTTGCACTTTGGTGATAGAATATCTTTGGCCAAGTTGTTTTCCCTAAACTCCTGAGAATTATTCATCCCCATGACAGCAACCATGTAATCAGTAGTTGAGACACAGTGAGCGGCAAAAGAAAGAAACAATACCAAAAATACTGTGTTTCTCCACTGAGATCTCATAGTGAGCAGGGGAGAGAGTTAGAACAGGAATTCTGAGATTCCAGAGCCTGAGTCTCTCTACTTTTGTCCAGAAATGAATATGCTTTTCCTCCATCATCCAGCACTTTCCAGATGCTGAGAACAGGAAAGAGAAAGCTGAGTGTTGCTGGTGGCAGGCTGGCCTCGCCCACTAGAGTGTGGACCGTTGAAGTCCTCATGGGTGCCATGCTCCCAGCTGTAAAAGCAGTGGATGTGGGAGCTGAGAAGTACCAGAGACCAGAGGAGCCCTTTCTGTCTCTGCCATCATCAGGGTATTTCTCTAGTTCCCTGGAGGTACCTGTGTTCCTGCAAATAAAGAATGCATGCCGTCAGGACACTTAATATTCTGCATTAATAGCAACAACAAAATTCACCTTCTAGCACAGACCACTGTGTTCATTGTCACTGGAGAGTACAAGTATGAACAACAAAATCCTATTCAGTTAGGGCAGTGAAACTATTCTGTATGATACTGGAATGGTGGATACATGTCATTATACACTTGTCAAATCCCATAGAATATACAAAACCAAGAGGGAACTCTAATGTAAACTGTGGACTTTAGTTAATAATAATGGATTTGTATTGGCCCATCAATTGTAACAAAATGCCACACTAACACAAGCTGTTAATAACAGAAGACATTGGAGGTTCGGGGGGTATGTTAGAATTCTAGTTATATAGCAACAGTCCATATCTCATGCAATTCCTAGTTTAGAACAGTTTCTAGAAGATAGTAAGTGCCACATAAGGGTTAACAATCAGCATTATTATTATTAACTTTCAAAAGTGAAATGACTCTATAAAGGCCAAATCTTGTTTTTTTCCTCTCCTTCTACAAAGAAATGAAACAACCTTCCATAAAACACCACGAAGCTGGTGATTCTCCCCCAAGAAACTGGCAGGTTTGGAGGGCTCAAGGAGCAGCAGAACATGAAGAGAGGATACATTCTTTCAAAATCATATGTGATTTCAAGTCTTACCTGATTCCGTTTGACTTAAAATGACTACAAAGGCATGTGGAAGGATCCGTCTGATTGAAGGCTTTGGCAGCTGCTGCGGAATACACGAGAACACTAAATTAAGCCCTGTTTTCCAACATAAACAGAGAAAAATGTGTAGAATATTCAATGGCATGCTTTGGACAAGAGTGCAACTTACCTGGCAGGAACAAATTTCTTTGCTGCAAGAAAAAGAAAACCATTAATTTGGACTAAAGGACTTTTAAGGAGATATCACATTCAGAAACAATATGGTTCTATTCCCCAGGGACTGCAAACTCTACGCCTTCAGGGCCCCTGTGATAAGCAGAGTGCAAACACAGCCTGTTGCCAAGGGGGTGAAGTGCAAAGCACACACTCATCCTAAGGGCCCAGCAGTTTCCTAATGCTAGCGATAGTTGCAGGCTCAGCGTGCAGAGTTCATCTGCCAGTTTTTCATAAGAAGTCCCAAATCTAGATTTTATGTGAGATTTCCCATTTTATAAATGTCAGAACTTAATTTAAAAAAATGTTAACTATTCCATAAGCCAAACAAACTGTGAGTGTGGCTAGATGTGTTTGCAGGGTCCCCAGGAGATACTCCCACATTTAAGCCTGTATTCCCAATAAATGTTTTGGAAACATTTTCGCCATTTCCTGGGAGCACAACCCTATAGCCTCACTGCACAACTCTCAGGGGGGCCACAGAATTCCCGGTGAATGGCATCCCTTGGAGCTGTCCACTGTTAAATAACATGTATATTTCCTAAAACTCTTCCCACTTTGAGTTGTACTATATACTCTTTCTCTAAGACCATGGCTCAATTATACTGTTCTTTAGTGTTTCTCTAGTAACTCGAGTCTAATTACTAATGTGCAAGAGAGAACATGACTCATCAATGAGAAAAAGAAATACATTTTTCAAGAACATTTTTGAAGTATGATCCCAAGCTCCCTTACCTCTCTTGCGAAGGCGTTTCAGGAGCCAGAGGAGAAATGAGGCTGATGTCAAGAGGGAGGTCCCAGCAGTGGCGAGTCCGATTGCCAGGGGAATATTGGACTCAGTGGGAGCTAGGGAAACAGAGAGGGAAGAACTGTCATGAGAAGAAACTGAATTTAAAGTTTTTCTGTTCTGTCCATTTGCCCTTTCCTTTGCACACTGATGAGCCATCTACATCAATACATACGGAGGAGACATGGTAGGGACTAAAGGCTTCTGAGATGGGCCCAAACCACCTGTGGCAGCTTGTCTCCCGCCACTGCCAAGAGACCTCTAACCTGCCAAGCTCTTCACAGAACCCACTGCACCTTGGTCAAGACTACATGCATGCTCTCTCCATTACTTGTCTTCCTTTTCCCTACTTTGACCTCTAGCTCTCCTTTTTCCACTTGTCAGAATTCTACCCATTCCATCCACCCGTCACCTCTTCTGTTTCCTCTCTATCACCATAATATTAAATATTCACCAGCTTCTCAACCTTGGAACCTTCCTAGTGTGAACATAATGAATGGTTCGTTACCTTCCCCTTCTTCTGTCTAGCCCTCCCAGACAGCCCCGGCACCAATCAGTACTTCACCTTCACAGGTAGGCGGCATCCCAGACCAGTGTCCTGTGGCATCACATGTCAGAACTGCAGACCCATTGAGTGTCCATCCTTCAGGACATGCAAACGCACACACAGTGCCAAACACGGGCTCCCCGCTGCAGCTCACGTTCATCTTTCCAGAAACTGCCAGACTTGAACATTGTACCACTGCAAATTATGGACACATGGGTGGAGGTTAACAAAAGTCTCCTGGAAAATGTCTAAAACTGGCTGAAAAGTCATAATAAACGTAACTTATAAGCACTACTTAGTTTTCAGCATGTAGGAAATTAGGATCACACCCATTAGGGCAATCTAGCTTCAGACACATATGAAATATTTGACCTTACCCCTTAGAGTCTAAATTCAATCCTACCTTGGCAGGAGGGGACCTCCTGTGTCCACTGTCCCTGAGATGTGCACTCAAGCTGAGCTGACCCACGTAATTCAAAGCCTTCCTCACAGCTGAAGGCACAGGAGGACCTGTAGCTGAACTCTCCAGTAAAGGAATGGGTGCACCTCACGGAGCCATGCTGGAGCTGCCGGACAGCAACACATTTCACAGCTGAAAGATATGAGTAAGCACATTAGAAGTCTGTATCAGGAAGCAACAGTTTTCTCATGTCATCAAGTCCCTAGCTCTTCAATTGTTTTTATCTTAAAAACAAAAACTGTACCTTCACATGTGGGCTCCTCACTGTCCCATTCGCCTGTGGGGCCGCACTTGAGTTTTTTGGATCCCTTCAACACAAATCCCTTCTCACAGAAGAACTCACAGCTGGACTCACTTTGGAAATTTCCAGAAGCACTAGGAAGACAACTCATGTAGCCTTTCTCTGGGATGGACAAGGCTTTGCACTGAAAAGCTGAGATACCAAAATGATGGTCAGAAAATATTGCAGTGGAACTGGAGAGTGCTTAGCATTTGATGAATGAACCCATTCATTTTGGACAAAGCAATGCTCAGCGATCTCAAGGCTCTTCATTACTCCCTGGACAACTGGGAAGATGAGGGTGTTTTCTTTGAATGCCAAGCCCTTCATTGATAATGGCACTCAGTAAAGGATAGCCTTTAATAGAACCAGTGGTTCCTGAACACCGTTCTGACATTTGAAAGAAGTTACAGTCAAGAGAAAGATTTTATGTAGTCAGAGAGCAAATTATGGGTCCCGGATGCTAACAGATGATGCCAAAACACAAAAGGAAGGTAAGAAGGCAGCACAAAAAATGTGTCTGCTTTGCAGTTTGGTTTTGGTCTTGTGGCTTCTTACCACTGGAAATCATTCTGGGCTATATTTGGCGACAGAAATACCAGGACATGATAATGAAAACTGCTTGTTTTCAACATCACTGCTCTTGCTTTAAAGTGAATTAAATTTTAGTGCTTATGTAGGTATTAAGGGTGTCTTTACACATGGCACAACACATGGCACATTCTTGTCACTGCTAATTATGAGCAGTTTCAGAAGAAAAGTATTACAAGAGTTTTAAAATCAAGTCATGTTCTCACAATCCTACTTTTAAATGTTCTCATGTGATTTTCCCTTAGATTAAGGTATCTGCCTACTCCGTGCCAATGTCTACAAAGCCACGTTAGCACAGCACAAGAAACCGGCCAAGCATCCACTCTCAGTACGTACAATCCTTTCCCTGGATAAGCATTGGCTCTTTTATATGAAACTCAAAAACATAAGATGAACATTGCCCATCACATCTGATTACTCTAGTTAAAGTAAGCATCTGGTTTCATTTTAACTGCCCAAGTTCGAAGATGGCTGCCCTTTAAGGAAGGGGGTATGTAAAGGAGAAGCTCTTGGGCTTACCTTCACAAACTGGGACTTGCTGATTCCATTTCCCTTGTGCGGTGCATTCAAGTTGGGCTGGCCCCTGCACCAGGAAGCCTTCCTCGCATGTGAAATTGCAGGAGGACCCGAAGGTGAACTCGCCAGCTGGGGAGTGGCTGCAGCTCACAGACCCATTCTGAGGATGGTCAATGGCCTCACATGTCACAGCTGTAACATAGACACCCACGTACATTAGCAGGTCTGGCCTGACCATTTCAAGTACAGGTTGAGAAAAAGAACGTTTACAGTAAATCTTGACATGGGGCAACTCTACCTTTACATGTTGGCTTCTTGTTGTCCCAATTCCCAGATGAGGTACACTGGAGGTGCTTGGGTCCCATTAGTTCAAATCCTTCTTCACATTCAAAGGCACAAGTTGTGTTCCATGGGAAGTTTCCAGAGCTTTTGAGACAGTCCATAGTGCCATTGGGAGGCTTTGTCAAAGCATTGCACTCAACCACTGGGGATTTGAAAGAACACCATGAATTTTACAGAAGAATGATATGTTCACTTCCTAGAGAGTTGAAATTTATAAGAGGGCAAGGAAGCAGCTTTCAAACAGTAAATCCCAAAGTCCTAAGTTAATTTGGGGGGACATGCACATACACTATAAAGTTTTTATGCTCTTTTATTAATACTTTCATCTTCTCTGATTGATTTATACTTTGACTACGTTGAGTGGTCTCTGATCTATGTTATCATATCTCTCATGTCTCTGATCTACTTTCCGGAAGGCAAAAACAAAGGAAAAAAGTTTCTCAATCAGGATTTATGACTAGTTGTGAGAACAAAAATACTGACATACACAGGACATTCATTTATGTCAGCCCAGCAGGACCTAGAGGCAAAAAGTCTTCATCTCCAGCCTAGAAAGATAAGCTGAGAGAGAGAGAGAGCTGCTGGGACTGCTTGACTCCCATGGTCTTATGCATCTACTGCATCAAGAAAGGCCAACCAGGAGAAGTCGTGAAGATTTCTTGAGTGTGGTGCCAGCGCTACGGCACTCTCTTACACGTCACCAGAGCCTCAGAAGCACCCATCTCAAACACGGTGGTTTTTCTAAAAACCTCTCAAACCAAGCAGGCACCCTACTGACCAACACGTATTGGCTGGGGGAAGTCTTATTAAGAACAACATTACAAAAAGAACTTTCCCTAGAGTTTTGAAAGTGCTATAAGTTGGATAAAAACAAACAAACAAACAAACCAACCAAGGCCAAGAGGGATGAGTCAGAGAGTGTTGTGTGCGTTTGGAGAGAGATTTACCATTGCAGGCGGGAAGAGGAGCACTCCAGTCCCCTGTGGAAGTACACCACGTGGTCTCTGTGCTGCTTGGGAGGTAACCCTTTTCACAGCTGACGGAGCAGGAAGAATTGTAGCTGAAGTGCCCCAGAGGGTGAGTGCAAACCAGGCTTCCGTGCCCAGGGTCTTCCTGTGCTCGACAGGTCACAACTGAAAGGAGAAACCACATCAGATCCTCTGTCGCCTAGCATAAAGTGAGAAAGCCCTGGTGGTAAATCTGGGATTTGAAGCCACGGCTCTTAAGCACCACATGACACTACATGCCCGGGGAAGGGAGGACATGCACACCTGACACCCAAGCCAGCTGGGACACGGGAAAGTGCTACCGACTCAAGTGAAGGAGCAGGTGAGATGGGGACCTACCGTGCTCACACCTGAGTCCACTGAAGCCGGGGTAGCACTCACAGGTGTAGCTGTTGACAGTCTCCACACACTCACCATGGCCGCTGCAGGATGTAGGGGTACAGGCAGCTGCAAAAAACACAATGAGGAAGAGGATCGTCATTGTGCTTATAATGCGTTTCTTTGGGTTGAGGATCAACAGTGTGTGACAGAGATGTCACCATTTATAGGGACTTCCAGAGATTTTAGCTAAAGTGCTTCACGCAATGCCAAAGCTGGGTTTTAAGCTAAGCTGATGTTAATATGCAGGTGTCAGGGGTACAGTTGTCATTGGCATCAAGAATAGAAAATTCTCTTTATCACAAACTTTCAAGATAGTTTCCCTTCTACAAGCAAATGAGTAACTAAAATATGCGCTGTATGTGCATACACTGCCTATGTATTGACCTACATATATACATACATTCTTCCCTACATTCACACAAAGAGGCAAAAAGATATAATTTGCCAACAGAATGTTTTAAAAATATATTTTTTTAAGAACATAACATTAGGGGCGCCTGGGTGGCTCAGTTGGTTAAGCGACTGCCTTCGGCTCAGGTCATGATCTTGGAGTCCCGGGATCGAGTCCCGCATTGGGCTCCCTGCTCAGCAGGGAATCTGCTTCTCCCTCTCCCACTCCCCCCTCTTGTGCTCTTTCTCTCTCTCACTCTCTCTCTCAAATAAATAAATAAAATCTTTAAAAAAAAAAAAGAACATAACATTACCATAATAGAGACCAGGTTTTGCATACTGTCAATAATTTGTCGAGATGCCCTCAGCCTGAAACTCCCTCCCACGGCTGCCTCAAGTCCCGTACCTGTGTAACACAAGGCAAGCTTCTTTTTGTCGCATCTCTCATCATTCCACTTGCCCGTGTCCTTATCTCTCTTGATGTAGATCTCCACACAGTCTTCATTGGTTTGCTTATTGTTCGGTTCGCCTGGAGCCCAGTTCCTGGCTTCTTCGGTCAGAAGCTTCTGGGTCCCTATCCAGGTCCACTGCTTATTGACCTTTCTGATTCCGATCCAGTAGTAAGTTGGTGAATAGCTGAACATGGAGTTCAGGTACTTAATTTCTTCTTGGTTTTGTATCGCAACCAGATGCGTGTACCTTTGCTGACAGTAAGCACTAGCTTCGTCAAAAGTCATGGTTTCTGTGGAGGCATTGTACGACCAGGCCTCACTCTCTTTAAACAGGAGAAGCGCTAAAAGGGAAAGTGTGAAAGGCATGGAAAAGTTAGTCCTGCTATAGTTTGACTCTATTAACTGGGCTTTTTACAGTCTTATTTTCATCAACCAGTGGCCTTGGAATGACTTGAATTTTTTTCACCTTTTCCAAAGTAAGAAGAGGTATAGATGGAGAAACCATTTATTGTGTGTATCTTTTGTGGTTGAGCCTCTCTGCACTCACTCACCACAATCTATCAGGGTATCCACTACAGTAGAATAATAATCAGAATAACTAAGCCTACTGAGCACTTAATATGCACCACAGAACTGTCTGAGGCCATTTCCATAATACTGGATCCTCACAATGCCTCTGGGAAATAGGCCACTCATGATCAACACTTTACACTTTAGGAAGTTGAGACACAAAGAGGTAAATTGTCTCTAACCCAGGATGGAATGCATTGTGCAGAGAGGCCAGAGATGCTGCTAAACATCCTACAAAGCATGGACCCCCCACAAAGAGGAATTATCCTGCCTGAAATGCCAAGTGTCCAGGATGAGAAACCCTGATCTAACGAATGATATTGACTTACCAAGAGTGAGAACAGGGAGAAGCTGTGAAGCGATCATGACTTCTAGGATTCTTTTTTTTTATCAAAAGATGAGTCTTGAAATGCCCTTCTGGGGGGAAAAAGTACAAAATTCATTACAGAAAGAAATTTTAGGTAGCTGGTTACTGAGATCATTTTATGAAGATGTTTTCAGCAGTATCATAAGATTTTAGCTAAAGGATAACAGTGCCATCATCTTAGTTTGTTTCAAGGAAGTCGACTGGAATGAATACATACAAAATTTAAGGTTTTCATCATTTAGGTGAAAGAGAAAAGCCAGAGTTTAACTGGTCTGGATACAACAAGAACATGCACACGTCTTTTATCAAAAGGCTTTCTGCATCTCTATTCATATTGACAATCCTGTTGGCATATTGACAATTCATATTGACAATCCACCCTTGTAAAGACTCTTTTGAACTTACTGTTCTGTCAAGTGGTGGCTTTGGTGCCCGCGTTGGAATCCTGTTTGTGTCACTGCTGCTTCTGTCTCGTGCCACTTAGCAGTTCTGATGTGAAGTCAGCCAAGAACAGCAGAGCGCTGCTCCTGCCGGAGCCCCTTTATAGGGAAGCTCGCTTCCTGTGAGTAATTTCCAAACCCAGTAAAGAGGAATTCCCCTGCAGCATCCAAAATTTTCCCGGGAATATCCATAACACCAAAAAATTACAGTGATGTCAGATATTGGTGCCATATTAATATGGCACAAATGTGGGGTTTTAAATAACATAAAATTGATGTCTTTAAAAAATTTGAAAACTTTGCTCTTTAGCAGCATCTCTCCTGTAATTGTGGTAGTAACCAGAATTTCATGAACATAAGCAAATTCAGCCTTAGTTTTATTATCTGTGGGCTACCATTCTTAATTTTCTTATCTGTAGCTGTCAACAGTGGACCACCAATCTTTTGTTTTTTCTCTCTCTCACCTACCAGTACAACCCATTTTAAGGTACACTGTCTCACAGAGAAATGAATCACAAGGTATATATTAATCCTTAAATTCTGTGGATAGTTATAGCTAAATTACTAGAAATAATATCTCCCAGGTAAATGTTTGAAATAAGGCTTTGTTTCTTAAAAATAACAAAAATGGGAAACAGACTTAGTTGTCCATGTCTGGAAAATGCTTATTCATGATTTGTTAAGTGAGAAAAAATAAAGATGAAAACTATATGTACTCATAGTTACTTGACTCCAATTTTATTTAACAGTTTTAAAATATGTATGTGTAAAGAATAACAAAACTATACCAAAATGTTAACAGTGGCTATCTCTCGGGGCGCCTGGGTGGCTCAGTCAGTTAAGCGGCTGCCTTCGGCTCAGGTCATGATCCCAGGGTCCTGGGATCGAG